CACGGATTTAGCTGAAGACCTGGCTCTGACAACTAGCCATTGGTGACCCTTGGTTCTGTCCGTGATTGGCCAAAATTCAAAATTAGGCACATTTATGTCCTGCAAGCCAGAACCTGATTTCCCGGGGATCGGATCATCTTTACATTGCTAAGCACAGGGAGTTAATGTTGAGATCAGTCTTGGGGATACTGGGAAAAGATGAATCTATGATTGGTGAAGAGCTCTTTGTTCTCACAGCCCACATTTTCATCGTTCTAACTCAGACTGGATTTGTTGTTCGGGCTCTCGGCTTTTCCTAAGTTATTCACTGAAACATTTTATCACAGTGATCTCTGCTTTCACACGGTGAAAGGAAATCAATAAAGAAAAACCTGGAAGGTCACCCAACAAATCTCAAATATTTTGCTGCATTATCTATTGCATGTATTAGGAAGCGTGTATCTGGGGGAGGTCTGTTTCTTGTAGGAAGAGGTGTCGAAGGAGTGGCATTTGTCTCTCGGCATTTAGAAGTCACCAACACTACCACACTGGTCATCAGCTCGTGAAAGCAGTACCTTCGTGATTTAAAAAAAAAATGTATATAATGCTTGTTTATCTTAAAATTCCCACTTAGGCAAATATAGTCTCTTGCTGTCAGGATAGATGACTTATCTATCTTCTGTTAACATTATGAAAGTAATAAAAGATCTTGAATGACTCGATTAAAACAATGAAAATGTCATGTAGACCATCTCGATTTTCAAATAGTGCGATCTGTTCATCCAACAAAACTTTTCCACTTTATTTTTTTTTTAAGATTTATTTATTTATTTATTTGTGATAGACATAGAGAGAGAGGCAGAGACACAGGCAGAGGGAGAGGCAGGCTCCATGCAGGGAGTCCGATGTGGGACTCGATCCCAGGTCTCCAGGATCAGGCCCTGGGCCGAAGGCAGGCGCTAAACCGCAGAGCCACCCGGGCTGCCCAGAAATAGGATTCTTATTCTTCTTTCACAGAATGGGCTTTAAATATTGGGGCGCAGGTTCCTCTGAGTGTCTTCAACCGTTGGAGCGGGGTGTCCAGCCTGTCGCATGCTGGTCTGGGGACGGATGAAGAGGTCCGTACTGTCCTCTCTACACCTGCAAGCATGGACTGACCCGTTGGGAAGAGGACTGGCTGATGGAGGTGCTTTCCAGTCCCAGCAAGAGCGCCCTGGCCCCCCAACCCCCGGGCTCCTCCCCGGCTCCACCGCTTTCCCACACGGAGTCAGCCACCTGGGCCTCCGTTTCCTCCTGTGCCCAGTGGAGACACTGGAGGCTCCCCCACGGGGCGTTCACGACAATCAAATGAGCTAATATTCACAGAATGCCACACTAGAGCACAGCTCCGACAGCCCCGGGAGGGACGGTAGCTGTCAGACGTTAGCTGTCACCACCAGCACCACCCCCACCACCAGCACCACCAGCACCACCACTATTACTACTACTTTCGGTGGAGCCCAAAAATACGTGATTGTGTCACCCGTCTGGCCTGGGCTAGGCTTCCACATGACCCATTCTGAAGTCGCCTCCCCTTGTTAGGCTCACGCAGCTGGTCGCTCTGAGCCTGAAGGTAGCTCATTCCACTCTTGGCTCTTTCCAAGTTCACGACGCTCTTCTCGGGCCTTTGCACTTTGAGACGCGTGATTCGACAGGTGAGTATTGTGTCGAGTGCACTAGGAAATACTCCGTTCACCCTTCCGGCTTCTGGACGGGCGGCGTTGATGGTGAGTGCCCGAAGACTCTTGGTCGACTGAGGGATGGTCTTGAAGAATTTATTGGAAAACACACCCCCCCAAAGAGTGGTTTGGTTGATTGGAGGAGAGGATCTCTCGTCTCCAGATGTGAGCGGCAGGAATGAGGGTCAGGATGGGGAGGTGATGGCAGAGGAAGGGCCAGAGAATGATGGTGGGGAAGAAAGAGCAAGAAGGCACCTCCCTGAATACCTCGCTGATTTTGAAAATCAGGGCTGTCACCACAGGCCTTAGGATGTGGGAGCCCAGAACGACTTCAGTCATTAATTCGATAGGATGTTTTTCAAGATCTACAATATGCAAGGCAACGTGCTAGAAAAAAATAGGGGTATTTGTACATCCTGGCCCTGAAAGCAGCAAATAGAGGAGAAAAGATGTGTGAATCAGCAGCTCTACCTCGATGTGATGTGGTGTCTGTGTGAGGTAGATACAAACCAACGGCCACTGTATTTGGGGGCAGCATGGTCACCTTGGCTCCCTTAGAGATTGGATTACCGGCCTCATCCTTACCTCTCCTTACAGCTATGCCTCTTGACAAGTAGTTTTGCATCTCCTTCCCACCGTGAGTGGGGCAAACTAGCTTCTCTTGACTTTGGGTTTGTCCATGTGACTTGCTGTAGGCAAGACATGAGGCAGGAACGAAGGTGTGCCAGATCCAAACTTAAGCCTGAAGAGCCCTGTGCTTCCTCCTAGGTCTCTCCAGGGCCGTCAGATCAGGCCCAAGACTAGATGCAGGGCCAACAGCCTGCACACCGAGCCACCAGCTCCACAGTTGCCTGAGATCTAATCTCTCTGATCCCTTACTTTTTTTTTTTAAGATTTTATTTATTCATGAGACAGAGAGAGAGAGAGAGAGGGAGAAGCAGGCCCCATGCAGGGAGCCCAACCGGGACTTGATCCCAGGACCCCGGAATCACTCCCTGGGCCAAAGGCAGGTGCTCAACCGCTGAGCCCTACAGGCGGCCCCGATCCCTACTCTAATGCTCAGAGCAATTCTGCTTTTCTATCAAATTCTAACATAGCAACCAGGCAGCTGTAGGTGAAGTGCTGCCTTAGCACAGACCTAAAACACGTGGCCTTGGTCTAGGGAACAGGGCAGATGGATGCCGGCAAGACTTCGGGGAGATGGCTAGTGAAAACCTAAAAAGCCAGGGTAGGGTGTTAGCAGAAGCCTAATGAGCCTCCAAGGAGGCTGTCCAGGAAGGCTCACAGAAGAGAGAGGGAAACGTTCTTGGAAGTTGGAAGAGATTTTGATAATGAGGTGTGTAGAGTTTAGCCACCACAGAGAATAGAAAACATACCTAACAACCCCATGATCTGGCTAAGACTTCTGGGCAGTGTTGAGGACACCTGGCTTTTTCTAGCTGTTTATTCTAGCTGTTATTGTTTATACTTATTCCAAATGTAACCTGTAGACAATGTAAAGGCTCATTAGTTTCTTAAGCCAGCAAAACTCATACTAAGAAATGGCTTCCAGGCAAAGATCAAACCCAAAGTGGGGCCTAAAGTTCTGTTCAAGAGCACAGGACAGTGCCTCCTTCATAGGACGTTTCAGACACACAAGGGCCCTCTATAGGTCTTACAGGCATAACCCTGTAGACCCGGTGCAAGGTTTCGAAGAATCTCAGGGTTGCTGTTCATCAGCCTCACAGGGAGACCAGTGTAGAAAACAAAGTCTCTCAGGGGCCATTGGGTGGCTCAGTCGGTTAAGTGTTGGACTCGTGAGTTCAAGCTCCACGTTGGGCTCTAATCACTGGGTGTGGAGCCTCCTTAAAAAGGGGGGGTGGTCTCCAACAAACTTACAGCTTTCCTGTAATGGAATGGATTATAAGTGGATACTTCAGAATGCCACAGGTTTTAAAAACTAAAAGGACGCCTGGGTGGCTCAGTTGGTTGAGCGTCTGCCTCCAGCTCAGGTCATGATCTGGGGGTCCTGGGATCCAGTCCCACATTGGGCTCCCTGCTTGGTGGGGAGTCGGCTTCTCCCTCTACCTACCCCTCCCACCTCTCCCTGACTCCCTCCCCCGCCCTCCAAGTACACATGTCCTCTCTGAAATATTAAAAAAAATAATTAAAAATTGAGTTAGTTTGGACAGGGATAGTATAGACAGGTCCCAGTTTGGGACCTCTGATTCCTATGGGCAAGAGGCAGGCTGAGAAAATCACTCCACTGCAAATATGAGCTACCTTTATGGAAAAGGCAGGACTACGCACCACAGGGCGCCCCTGGGGGTGTGCCTAAGCCCTCACAAAAAACTGGAGTGAGGCTGGTTGGACTTCAGAAGTGCTATGGGCAAGAGACTGCAGGTACTGCTCACGTCCCCCTGCTGAATGGGAGTGGGGAGGTCATGCCAACAAGTATTTGGGATGAACAGTTCAGGTAGCTTCTCTTCGGGTCACGAGTCTTAAGGCTGAGGATGGTACTTCAAAGACTTTCACCCAAGCGCCTCATCCACATGACCTGAGCAGCGAGCGGGTAGACACAACCCACTTAATTGACTGAGCCACCCAGGTGCCCACAGCTGCGACTCGTTCTTCTAAAAGTGTGACTAAGTGGGAGTCTTAGGTTTCTGCCCTCTGATGGGCAGGCTGGTGAAGGAATGATGCTATAGGACTGAGGCCAGGTCAGAGATAAAAGGCAATGCAGCTTCTGACTTGTTGCTGGACCATTAGAGCCTTAAGTAGTCACATGAACAGTCTGTCCTGAGCACACCGTGTTGTGAGGAGCCTGCAAACCCACCCAAGGGTCACGGCAAGGTCCTGAAACCAAATGAAGGGAGAGATGCCCTGGCAAGACCCCAGCTGCTCTAGTTCCCTGCTGTAGGAAGCATCCAGCACCTGGAGGACCTCAGACACACAGCCACATCAGTCATCTGAGTCCTTCCTTAATCAGGACCCACAGGGAAAACGGAGGTAATACATGACCACTGTTAAGCCACCGAGCTTGGGGATTTACAATAACTGGTTTGCCAGGTTTCTGGTAGGCGGGCAACATGAGTAAGTAGACTTCAGAGGAGACTAGTTTCATTTTCCATTCACCTGAACCAGAAACAAACATTAGGTAATAATGAAGATGTGGAATCTGCAAATTTTTCAAATACAACCACTGCTTTAAGGTGTTGAACTATTTACTATGTTTATTTACAGGAGTCACAATCTGACCAAATTCCCTATCCCTACAAAACACCACTTATACAGAGATTACAAACAGTAACACCATGAAATCAATGAAGATGCATGATCCTTTATATTTTATTTATCATAAACATTAATAAGTGAATACAGCAAACACTGGAGAAAGGCTTTTTAATAGTTTTTGGATGTGAAGCTTAACACTTAAAATTACACTTGCTCCCCCCAACCCCCCATTCAACATGCAGATCTGTATCTTCATGTATGCTGATCTAGAGTATTACAATCTCTTTACAGTTTCATAAAAGCATCCTTACCCTGTAACTTAAAAATGATTTCACAAACTGTATGTGATCATGGTATAATACCATCATTCCTATAGTTCCTCAAGGTGAATACATCCACACAATATTCACATTAAAGTCTGTTTTTAAACATCATTTTAATAAGCCAAACCACAAGAACCCAGGTTCTAGTTTTAAATGTTTATGAAGACTGCTGCTGAGCTCAAAGCATGCAGATATTCATGACCACCTAGATGAAGCTGGATATTGAAACTCCTTCAGTAGGTCCAATGATGCAATTTTTCACTCATCCCAAGTATCTCCATATTTGTTTACTTTGACTAGGAAAAAAGCACAAATAATTGATGATTCCAAATAGTAGTAGGTGAAAGATACTATTCTAAATTTGCTAGTATGATGAAAACCATGTTTCTCCCTCATTTCCAACAAATGCACATAAGAGAAAGGGGATAGGGGCTAGCGAGACTTTTGTGAACTGAAGGTTGGATATAAGTAATGATGCACTCTATCAGAAACTTTACCTAAGTATTTGATCCTCATAACAACCTTATAAAGTAAACACAAACCCCATTTTAAGGGTGAGAAATCAGATTAGTAACTTGCCCAAGGTACCAGCCTAATAAAGCAAATAGAACTGAACTCTGAATACAGGTCTGTTTAGGTCCAAAGCAAGGACATCTTTACAACTTCACCATACTGTGATATATATATTATATAGCACATCTCAAAAAAGAAACAATTACCGGGAAATAAAAAATAGTAACAAGCATTTGAATTTTGTTTTTCACAAAAAACACCATAACAGAAATGATCAAGTCTTCAGGTTGTAGTTAATTCATTCTTCTCCCCCATGAGCTGTTAATACTATACAAGGAAATGGGTTTCCAATATCCCTGCATTTCACATAAAATTACATTTTGAAATAGGCTCTTTTGTCTTCTTTACTCTTTTACTTTCAACCTCTCTTCTACATAGCCTTCACTTGCGGATTACAACTCTTCGGAAGACTCGAATGTTCATAACGACATAAAGGAGCGGTTACCAAAGTATGGACCAGGGACCCCTTCCCCAAGATTCTTTCAGAGAGACTAAGTCTAACTATTTCATTATTTTACTAAGATATTATATACTTTTCTCCTATTTTGCCTTTTCCCCTAGTTTTCATCCCCTTGTGAGTCTAAGGTAGTCTTCTAGAAGCTGTTATCATGTGCACTGCCCATCATTGCCCTGACGGCTAATTGATAATATGCTTATGTTTTGGGGATTTCTCAGTCTTAATTTCTAGCTTAGATAAATGTCAGCAAACATAGAATGTCAACCAACACAATCGACACAAACTAAAGCTGAAAATTCTGACACTTTCTGACCAAGTGAATCTACACTGTACTAATGTCAAATTTTCTGTCAATTCCAAAATAGAACATTCTAAAAAAAAATAATCACTCAAACTATTTCGTAACTTTTTTCTTTAAATTATAGAAAGCACACGCAAAAAAAATCAGCTCTCTTGAGGAAGAAGAAAAGAATTATTTCACATTACTGTGTCATGTAACAGAACTTTACGACTGTTCAGTCAAAACCACAAATGTCAAAACCCAGCAAATGCTAAAGATCTACCTCATTTCCTTTTGTTAACCTTTAAAACTAAGGCCCAACCAAAACACTTCGTATCTGCTACATCAGCGCAGAGTACTAAGCCATGCAGACAGGTAACAGAAAAGATTACAAAAATGAGAGAAATGCTGCTGCCTGCCCCTTATGGAGCTTACAGTCTAAATCCTCAAATTAGTGGAACAATGTACCAGTAAGTCGACATATTACAAAGTAATGGCCACCAAATGCAAAATGTTTATGCTAAAGGTTAATTATTAACAAAAAACATCCAGTATTTTTTATTACAAATCTATTTTAAAGCTGGATTTTTAAACATTAATGACAGCGGTATTATCCATAATTGTTATAAAAACAGAATTCTAAAAGAAGCAACCACTAACGATTAGAAAGAAGATTCTAAAAGACCAAAATAAAAAATATGCAAGGTTTTTATGTATTTTTGCATTTTCTGTTGGCATAGGACTCTCAAGAAGGTACCAAGGACCTCTTCCTTCCACTTCTTTTTTTTAAAGTAGTAACTAGAAAACCTTAAACAATGACTCTCTCTAAAATTCCTCAAAAAAGACATCATAAAATTCTACACTGAAACAGATATGAACCCGTTCCAAATGCCTTCTTTTATTAGGGGTAAACTTCTGTGTCAAAAAATTTCCTTTGATTAATGTATAGCTATTCCAAAAGGAATGAACGCAAACTGTGATTTTTCAATTTGTAATTAATTATAGAGCAAAAGTACTGAAAAAAAGGTCAAACTCCTCTCTTGGAAGTGCCCTAAAAGCTGGTATGTAATGCATATAACTCTATTTCAATTTCACAAAACATATGAGACAATCAATTTCATTACTCAATCAGGATTCTCTCACTCTGCTCAAAGTGGCATTACAGCCTATTATCCCCCTCGGCAATCAGATCTGGTTTTATGCAATCGATGCATCACTTAAAAAACACTTACTACATCCCAAAGTGACTCCTGATAAAATAAAATATTCAAATGGATTTATAATTTCTACAATGTATTAGAAGTAGTCCTACTGTCTTAAGTCATGCCACTATTTGGACTTGATTATTTTCTAACACAAAATGGTCTTTGAAATACCTTAGAAAAGGAAAACCTGGTAATTGTGACAGAACTAGTCTTTTAAAAAAATGTTATTTTGGTTAATTGCTTGAGGAATTAAATCACATATTAGTATAATTAACATTTTTAACTAATGCTGCAGTTTCCAACCCTAGAGAGTAAAGTGATTTCAGACTAAACTACCATACCTTCTTTTTTTGGCACTCTTTCCTGCATAGGCCTGACTGAGGGGTCAGTCTTATGTGTTAAAGTTACTTCATATGACTCTCTGTTCTTATTCCTTAATTCCTCATATGTAATATTTTTTCTTTTAGGACTTTCTTCAGGGTTGGGATCAGGTCCTAAAACAACAAACAGTTAATAAATGGTGATAAAAGGATTTGAATAAACCCAAAGTAAGTAAGTTTTATAAATGCTTCTTACCTACAATAAAACAGAATAAAGTAAAATGAAAGACCAAATCATTACCACCATTCCAAAGGTACCAGATTTTCCCCAAGATAATTACAAAACAAAAACTGCCTTTCTCTTACACTTTTAAGCTTTTATTTCTAAAATTTAAAATCAACATAAAAAATTAAAAGGTAACCATGGCCAGAAGAATGGATATTGTAATATATACCAACGCAGTTTATACTCACTATAATGCTAGTGTTTTAAACTAGAAAATTATTCATAATGCTTATATAATTAGAAATATATCCTACTAGGGACAATGGAACAAAACTTGACAGTGTATATATTTTACTTAGTAGTATTTCCATAGTTGAATGTTCCTATAACCAGAGGCTATACACAAATAACTATTAAAGAATATCGTTATGCTTAAACACACTTGAAAATAGCTGTTGAAAAGTATAAAACACAGCCTTCAATTACCACAGGCATCATTTTTACTCAGGTGTAACGAAGCAATACTGAGGTAGAAAAAAGTGGCAATGATCATTTTGGCCGGGGAACCAGCATTTATTCTTTCTCTCTCCCAAAGTCAAGGTAGCATTATGTATCATCAAAGAGTTAAGTACTGATGTAAAAATAGATAAGTGGTTACTCTTACTACTAGATGGAAGAAGTATCAGTTTACAAAATGTATAACCAGTAAAAAAAAAAAAAAGCCAAAAGAAATGAACTCATGCTAACCTAACATTCCTCAACTACTTAACTTACAAATCTTATATACTACTCCAGAAGTAGTATTTCTCAAAGAGGTTTTTACATACAAATTGGGCATATTATTTTGTTAATATAATCATATTAATTAAAATAATTTTTTAAAAAGCAGTTTTTATAAGTGGTATTTTGGAACTCTACAGTAAGGTCCCAGTGAATAATCAGAATTTTCAAACCACTATAATAACATGTTAAATGTTTTCAAGCATAACCTTTTATTTTGCTACAAAGTATACTGCACTGACACCAAGTAATACATTTCCAATTAGAGTATACCATTCTTGAAAACTTTTTGCTAAAAGAAAGAATGCAAAGAAAAATTTTATAGCCATATATTGGGTTTAAAAAGCACTCGGATTTCATTAGTAGTAATTATCAAACTCATTTCCCTTCACCACAATGATATTTTTATAATTCTGAAGGAAACGGTGTGTCCTATATTATTCGTTAGGAACCCTAAATTCTCGTTTGCACTTTGCCAACAATCCGTGAACGTCCTTGGGCAAATCACTAAACTTCTTTGAATCTTGGTTTTTTCAATTGTGAAATACAAAAGTCTGCCCAGATGATCTATCTCTAAAGTTCCTTCCAGGTCTAATGCTTTTTCTCACTGAAAAGAAAAATACTTCTTGGTTCCGAAATGCTGTGACAAATAATGGAAACATAAATCAGAAGATTAGGGAGAATTTTTTCCACTTTACAAAGCCCAATGAAAATATTCTGCATTGTGTAGGGAGCATGATTTACTACTTTGGGAAGGTTATAAAGAGCTGGAAGGAATAAAATATAAAACAGCATTGATTTAAATCTAACTTAATAAACTATCTATGATAAGTCTCCTAACACAATGAAGGAGAGCTTTCTACTTTGAAAGATTAATAACTCAATTCCTGGGAAAAGGAAGCAGAACCAAATAGGGCAAACAAGACTTTCACAAAAGGGGAGAGCATCCTGCTAAGGGAGAACGGCAGTTGGGGCAAAGCAGGGGAGGCCAGGACTGGCCCATGTAGAAGGTAGTCAAAGAGCACAATCTTGACTTAGAAAAGGGGTTGAGAAAGCAGAGTACTGGATGAATAGATGGCTGCTCTTGAGGCCATAAAATATATTAAAATATGGGCCTTGCTGTAGTCTGTGGGCAGACACCAAGGGGCTTTTTGTCTCTCTGCTTTTATTTGGAAAAGGAATTGTGCAACATGGAATGGAATTTTCTAATGCAAATGGAAGAAAGATGAAATTACAAGGGAAGAAGTGATGCATGACTAGAATACAAGAAGAACGGATTTGAACTTGAGTAGGCAAATGAGAGCTGCAGTGAGAAGTAAGAACAGCTGCCTTTGAAGATAAAATAACTAACCACTCTTGCCTAACCTGCCTCCTACCTCCTTCCCCTTTCTGACTAACTGGAAGGTCTTGGTTTCCAAAAGGGGAGGAGGGGGGTGTCAAGACTCAACACCTTTCATCCACTTAGGAATGTCTGTCTAACTACTTTAATTTCCATTCTCTTCTGTTTCTTCCTTTCCAAAATGTCCATCCTCACTGTCCCCACTCCAACTTGCTCTAAGGCAATGCTGTCCAGTATCATTTTCTGCAATGAGAATGTTCTTTATCTGCAATCATTCCAACAGAGTAGCCACTAGCACATGTGGCTAGTGAACAACTGAAGTGCTACAAAGCAACTGAGGAACTGAATTTGCCATCTGATTTAAATTTTAATTAATTTAAATAGCCATATACATTTAGTGGCTGCTTTACGTTCTAACCTACCTAGAACCCCTTCTACAACCTCTAGAACCTGAATTGACCTATAATCAATTTCTCCCCACTGTTTCCATTCCTTCCCTTTAAGCCACACCTAGATCCAAATCTTTCCCTTCATAAACAGCAAAAACCCAAATGTTCCTTTAATATTGTTTGTTCCTCATAGTTAGTTACTGGCTTATGGTGTTTGCATTAATGCCAACATTTTCGAAGAATATTCTATCCACAATTCCTTATCCAAAACTCTAGTCAGAAATGTTTCAAAATTCAGTCTCTCAGATTTTAGAAAGAGGTCATAGTATATAGCCCGTATTTTACTTAATATCTAACCATTCAGAGGTCTGAAGCAGCAATAATCATATTAAGATAAAGATTCTAAATAACCATGTCAGTTTAGGTCAGGGTTTGAAATCAGTTAAGTCAGATGTGATCATCAATTTAACTGTAAAAAGAAAAGAGCTTTGGAGGGGTGGCTGGCTGGCTCAGTTGGTAGAGCATGCAACTCCTATCTTGGGGTCGGGTGTTCAAGCTACAGGTTATAAAAAATAAATTTAAAAAAATTAAAAAATAAAGTTTTGTGGTTGTCAAAGCTTTTAGGTTTTTAGGATTTTTAAATAAGGAACTGCAAATTGTACTTCTTAATTCTTCACTTGGCACCCCAAATTAGACTGAAAAAACGAAGGAAACAACTACTGAGAGCCTATGACTTGACAGGCATTACCTCTGATTATTTCATCTCACTCCCAAAGTTCTTTAAGAGAGGAGAGATCAAGAAACTGAAGGGATCGCAAAGTATTACCTGCCTAAAGTCACATAGCTAGCAAATGTCATTCTTTCAAATCCAGGCCTTAATCCAAAGTTGATGTTGTTGCACTTACATTCTGCGATCTTCAAAGCTAGTATTTACACAAACTTCACAAAGCATTTTCACATGGATTTTCTCACTTGACAACAGTTCTGTAAGGCAGGTAATTATTATTTTTCTCATGTTATAGACAAAGAAGCCGAAAGCCTTTAAGACCAGCCTAACAAGTGTAACCTCTCTGAAGCTTCCCTGAGGCCCAATTTATCACTTCTTTGCTATAATCACTAACTTTGTTAGTATTTTCAATTAATGAGACACATTAGCAATTTTTCCTTATATTTCTATATCTTCTAGCTGTCTAAGAGAGTTTCTTAGGACAAGAACCAGGTCTCATTCATCTGTACTTCTTCCAAACCTAGCTGAGTGCCTGACACCTATTGGACGTCATAAAATGTTAAATGAATGAAGAAACAAATGAACAAACATGCTGAGTTTAGGCTGATGGTGAAGCATACAGGTGATATCCAGAAGAAAAAGTCATCAAATAAAGTTTATACATACGTTGGACCATAAAATGCTGAAATTCATTTCAAGAGAAGTTTCTACCTTGGGCAATATGATCAGTAATACCAGTGGGAGTAGATTCATTCATAGAAGCACTGAATGGAATTGGCTCATAATGAGGAAGCATCTCTTTTTCTAGGTTGTCTGCTGCTGGAGACGTCACAAAAGATGAATGACCACTCACATTTGAGTCATATTTTGACTTCTGAGAATAGTGCCTGTAAATCATATTGTATACGAAATGCAAATTATTGCCTATACCCTAAAAAAACAGTGTTCTGGTATGAAAACCAGTTATCTTACTTTTTAAAGGAATTATGTAACTTTAACATTGTTACTTATTACAATTAAATGTAATCTGTTTTTCTCTGCCACAAAAATTTTAAAAATATTTTGACCCATTTATACAACTTAAAAACAATCACCCTTAATACAGAAGAAAAGTATATATTCAATTTTCTAATTCCTGAGCTTCAGAGATCAATTTTCTTAAAAGATTCCCAATGCAGGGATCCCTGGGTGGCGCAGCGGTTTGGCGTCTGCCTTTGGCCCAGGGCGCGATCCTGGAGACCCGGGATCGAATCCCACATGGGGCTTCCGGTGCATGGAGCCTGCTTCTCCCTCTGCCTGTGTCTCTGCCTCTCTCTCTCTCTCTCTCTCTCTCTCTCTCTCTCTCTCTACATAAATAAATAAAAAAAAATAAAAAAAAAAAAGATTCCCAATGCAGAGATTCCAATGCATGTCACATCCCTGAGATCGTGACCTGAAGCAAAATCAAGAATCAACTCCTTAACCAACTAAGCCACCCAGGAGCCCTACTTCAGAGATCATTTTAATGTGTTTAAAGTCCTTGGAGGGGTGCCTGGGTAGCTCCATCAGTTAAGTGTCCAACTCTCAGGGTCATGGAACAGAGTCCCATGCTTAAAATTCTTTTCCCCTCCTTCTCCCTCCCTGCTCATGTATGCTTTCTCTCACTCTCTAAAATAAATAAAATCTTTTAAAAAAGTACTTGCAAAGAATAAAGTATTTCAAATGAAAAACGTGTCCAGTTCCCACATTAACTGGGAAGTTACTTCCACAGCTAGCAGGCCATAAATGCTATTTTGATAAAGCAGATATGAAATACTAGCTTTCATGGGGTTTACCACTTATAATAATTTATCAACTAATTATACTTAATTACATTATTAGTTATCTACCTATCCAGATGGACAGATTCATTTACTTATACTTAGATAATTAAAACAATATGCTATATACTTAGATAATTTCCCTAGTATTTTAAACAACAGGATTAAAAAGTTGAAATTTGTTAAGAAATGAGACTGATAAAATTTGGAAATTCAAAAGTCCAAAATATAGTAATCAAAGGTGTTTGCCAAATTAAAATCCTAGTATAAATGCTCGCAACAGGATGCGATTCTGTATTTAAATTTTTTTTTTTTTTTTTTTTTTTTTATTTATTTATTTATGACAGTCACAGAGAGAGAAGGAGAGAGAGGCAGAGACACAGGCAGAGGGAGAAGCAGGCTCCATGCACCGGGAGCCCGATGTGGGATTCGATCCTGGGTCTCCAGGATCGCGCCCTGGGCCAAAGGCAGGCGCCAAACCGCTGCGCCACCGAGGGATCCCCGATTCTGTATTTAAAACAAAGGCAGAGGCAACCTGGCTTGCTCAGTTGGTACAGCATGGCGGCTTTTGATCTTGGGGTCCTGAGTTCAAGCCCCAAGTTGTGGGCAGAGTTTACTCAAATAAATAAATAAAAATAAAACAAAGGTAGACAAATTTTAATCCACTTTTAAAAATAAAATAGCTTTAGCTTGCTGCAAAACGGCAAGTTTCCAATGAGCCTTCAGGTTACATAATGTTTCATGCCCTAAATTATAGCAATATCCAGTTACATTTTTTTTTTTTTTTTAGCTAAAATTAAAAGCCTTCAATAAAAAAAAGAATTTGGCCTACCCAGATGGTGAAGATCGCCGGGCCTGTCCTGAGCGTAAAGCTTCTCCAAGAGGGGAATTCTCCAAATTTTTGAACTTCTCTTGGCAAGTTTTCACGTAAGAAAGCTTTCCAGCAAAGTATCCCATGATACAAGCAACTTATTTGTAAAAACAAACAAAAAATGTTATTCAGTGTGCCCATTTAAATAAAAATCTTTCCTAAAAGGACACTTTTTAAGAAATGTGATCTTAAAGCACAGATTCTGTAGATCTAATTCACTTTCACAAAACAAAATAATCCAAAATAAAACAGCAACATAATACATAAATTCCACTTTACTAATTATTAGTACAGACAGGAAAGATGTGGTAAAGGTATAATGGAATGGAGACTCAAAAGAGAGTTCTAGCCTAGTCACGGGGATTTCAGGGCATTTCTTTTCCTATAAAATGGGAATCCATACTATTTACCCAGCTAATTTCATAAGACTATTTAAAATTACGTGCAAGAAATCCCTTAAAGTAATGAATTATGAAGTGGTATCTAAATGTAGCTACTGTTGTCTTATGTGTTTATTTCCAATATAAAAGAGACTAACTTGGAAAAAAAAAAGAGAGACTAACTTGGAAATATTCATAAAAAGACTGGAGTGTTCTTTTTTTAAAGCAATTTAGCGTCCTTCCTATAAACCATACTATAATATATAAATTATGCTTACTTACATTTTAAAACGTAAAGAGATTTTTTAAAGTTAGACTTAATTTTAAAAGACATTTTACTTTGATTAATCAATATATCTGGATTATTTTCTTTCCTCATAAACCAGAGAATTTATTTTAAAATACTATGTATCTTTACAGATTATTTAGAGTAATTTTATTATATTATAAAAGAAAAAAAATCCTCTTTCAAATACTTTATAATTCTTAATCCTAACAATAAAATGCCCAAGTAGTCAACTAGTCCATTTAATGAAAAGCTTAAATAAGCTGGTCAAAACAAATAATCAAAAACTGTTATGAGTTGGGCATGACAAAACATTTACTAAAACTATTTTACTTAGGTAAGAAAACTAGTGTTGTCCATACTTACATATAAGTTTAGGGATGGAACCATATTTGGGATGACTTGAAAGGATTCCTAAAGATAAGAGTATATATTTCTGAGTCACATTGTTAGAACAGACACATTTATATAATTAATATGTTTTGGCTATTATTAAAATAAAATAGGGTTATGCCAAATTTATGCTAAAGGTATGTAAGACAATGACACAAACTGTGGTAAAAAATGCAAGAAAACTTTCTGTGAGTCATAATCTAGTCTCTTCTAATGTGAGACAAAAGCAGTTTTTAAAAAGTTGGGTGCTTAGGTGGCTCAGTTGGTGCAGTGTCTGCTTTCGGCTCAAGTCATGATCCCAGAGTGAATCCTGAATCCTACAATGGGCTCCCTGCTCAACAGGAAGTCTGCTTCTCCCTCTGCCCTGCCCCACTTGTGCGTGCATGCATCCTCTCAAGTAAGTAAAATCTTTAAAGAAATAAATGAGAGAACCAAATAAATTCAACATCAAGAAATATGAAGAAAATACAAAAGACTCTAGAATCTCTTAGAAAAATTTAGCAAGATCACTTGATACAAAGTCAATATGAAAAATATATATGATTTCTACATACGATAAACCAAACTTTGAAAGATACAAATTACAGCACCAAAAAAAAAAAAAAAAAAATCAAAGAACCAGAAGTAATCTAATGAAAAATATGAAAGATTTATACACTGAAAACTACGAAACTTACTGAGACAACTGAAAGCTAAATGGAGGAATATATCCATGTCCATAAAATGAAAAACTAAATATTGTCAATATGACAATTTCCATAAATTCATCTATAAATTCAATGCAATCCCAATTAAAAATCAAAGTAAGTGTTCCTAAAAGTTGAAAAATTTATTTTACAAATCATGTGGAAACACAAAGAACTGAGAACCAAGGGAATATTGAAAAACAAAACTGGAAAACTGACTACCAACAAATATCAAGATCTACAATAAAAACTGTAGTAATCAAGACAGTTATAAGTACAAGAGTAGATAAACTGATCAAAACCAGAAGAGAGTCAAGAAACAGACCCACACATAGACACTTACGATAAAGGCAACACTGCATGCAGTGAACACTGACAATCCTTTCAAAGTATGGTGCGGGGTCACCTTCATTTTCATAATGGGGGAAAAAATGTACCTTAGTCCTACCTCATACAACACAGGCACACTTCAGAAATATTGCACGTTCAGTTCAATGGCACCACAGTAAAGGGAGAATCACAATAAAGGAAGTCAAATGAATTTTTCTGTTTCCCAGCACATATAAAAGTTATGTATTAAGTGTGCAATGGCATTATGTTTAAAAAATAAGATATACATACATTAAATATTTATTGCTAAGAAATGCTAACCATCATCTGAGCTTTTAGAGTTGTAATCACTGATCACAGATCACCATCACAAATGTTAAGGAGAATGTTTGAAAAATTCTGAGAATTGCCAAAATGTGTCACAGAGACACAAAACTGAGCAAATGTTGAAAAAAATGGTGCCAATGAGACCTGTTCAAAGCAGAGTTGCCATAAGCACTGTGAAGCACAATAAAGTGAAGCACAATAAAACGAGATATGCCTGTATTCAAAAACCATTCCAAATGACTTGAAAATTTAAGTATGAAAGAAAAAAAAAAGCTTATAGAAAAAAAGAAGAGATTCTTTGCATCCTTTTAATAGACAAAGATCTCGGAGCACAAAACGCCCTCATGATAAATTAGACTCTATCATATTAAGAACTACAGTTGATCAGTGGGAAAAAGTAATCACAATGCATATAACTAACAAGACTCACTTCTAGAAGACATAGAAAACCCTCACAAAACCAACATAAAAAGACAATCCAATGGAAAAAATGGACAACAGACTTGGACAGATACTTCACCAAAAAGGAATATATTTAAGTGAGCTATAAACAAAAGAAAAGGTCCTCAACTTCATTAGGGAGATGTAACTTAAAATCACAATGCAATCAGTATTACTGTTCCCTCACCACAATGGCTAAAAGTTCAAGGGACATGAAAAGATTAAGTGTTAGTAGTTATGTTTGTGTTACATTATCACAAGTACATTGGTGTGAGAGTGTAAATGAGTCCAAACAATTTAGAAAGTTTGGCAGTACCTAAAAATATACATAAACTATGACCCAGCAAAATGTCTACTGAAAGACGCTGTACACACAGCAGAACATTTGTAATAGTCAAAATTGGAAATTACCCAATTGCCAACATACAACAGGATGGATAAAACTGCTGTCGTATATACACAACAGAAAACTATACGGCAAGAAGAATATACAATCTACAATTACAGGCATCAGTGTGGATGAATCTAGTGACATGCTCAAAAACCAGCTCTCCAAATAAAAATCCCAGATTTGTAACATTGGTCAATTTCTGTGGAGAAAATACTTGCACCAGACCTATTTCGTTTATTTATTTTTTTAAAGGATTTTATTTATTTATTCATGTACATTATTCATGTACACAGAGAGGAGAGAGAGAAGCAGAGACACAGGCAGAGGGAGAAGCAGGCTCCATGCAGGGAGCCTGATGTGGGACTCGATCCCGGGTCTCCAGGATCACACCCTGGGCTGCAGGCAGCACTAAACCGCTGAGCCACCCGGGCTGCCCCCACCAGACCTATTTCGAGCTACCGAGGAATTAAACACTGGCTTGCCAAGTTCTTGAAAATTTAACAATCAGCTTTTTGGAAGTGATACAAGCCAATTCCACCATACCACCGGATGAATCTTATAACGTATATAAAAGAATGTTTAATTGTAAGATTTCATGTATATGAGATATAAAAACAAGTTATGCTATTAGCTTTAGTTATACAACTAAGATGAGAAGACGATAATACCTACTTTCACACAAAAGAACTATTCCTTCATTCTGTCCCAAATAGTTACAGACCATTTACAACAAAAACTACAAAGTAGAAACGTAACAGTAAACATGATGTTTTCTTTACCCCTCAGAGTTTTTAGTTTTGCCCTCTGATCAGTGCCAGAGATAGCCTGTTTCCTAAGGGGGAAGTAGCAAGAATAGAGGCAAACAGACTTCCTGAAGGCTAATTCAATACTCTTGGCAACAGACGGCTGCATTAATTACAGTGGTAGTGTAGACAGAAGTAGACAGTTTACAGAGATATTTAAGAGCTGGACTAGAATGAACATTCACTGGGTAAGGCAAATAAGAGTCAGAAGTTAAGGATAATGCCTGTTTCTTGAATGAAGAGTGATACCATTCAGACATGGGGACAATGGAGAAACTGGTTTGGGGGGAAATGGACTCAGCTCGAGATGAAGTAAGTCATTCTGAAGAGCCTGTGAGGGCCATTCATCTGAAGATATGCAGAATATGGTTCTGGAGCAGATACGTAGGCTAGGGATAATCATGGGGGTTTTAAAGCAGTAAATGGTCACTGAAGGCGACATTATCGTTGGGTAATAGTTTCCATAGACTGAAGACTAAGAGTCAAAATAGAACTCTGAAGAACAAGTGGAAGATGAAAACCCACATTAAAATACAAGTACCAACAGGCCATGAATTTTTGTCTTCTAGTGCTATCAACCAAAAACAGTATATAGTATCTATCAGACACTCAAAAAATATGAAAAAATGGAGGAGTTGCCAGAGGCAGGAGAAAAATCTGAATACGCTGTCACGGAAACCAGAGGAAGAGAACTGTTTCAAAGATTGGTTAAAGCCCAACATCCAACAAGAACAAAAACTGCCCATCGAATTTAAGCAACAAGGAGGTTGTGCTGGTAACCTTTTAAAGTTCTGGTAAATGTCAGAACATATGCATAATCTCTTTACACAGACTGTATTGGGTTAAAAGAAGTAAAAAGTGAAGTACTCATTCGTGAAGTCTGGCTTCAAATGCAAGACAGCTGACAACAGTTGAAAAGGGATGTGAGGGAAGATTTTTCTTTTTTGTGTTCTCAAGTTAGAACAGACCTGGGCATGTTTAAATGTTCTGAAAGAATGGGAACAAGTAGTGATGGAGCTAAGACTATATTAAGTATGACACATTGTGGATGAATGCGTATACAAAATATCAGGCATTTTGATTAAATGCAAAATGACTTGGGATGCCTGGGTGGCTCAGAAGTTGAGTGTCCACCTTTAGCTCAGATATCAATGCTGGGGTCCTGGGATCGAGTCCCACATCGGGCTCCCTGAAGGGAGCCTGCTTCTCCCTCTGCCTGTCTCTCTGTGTGTCTCTCATGAAAAAATAAAATCTTCAAAATGTTTTGGTGGATTCTGAATTCCTTTTCTAAAGTCTTCCAATTTCTTTTTTTGAGACTGACTTTATTAGAATACTACATCCAAAACAAATACCCAGTACAATTTAACAATTAAAAAAAAAAAACTTAATCCTGGGAAACTGTTATGTAAATAATAATGTTCTTTTTTGTATTTTTATTCCAAATTATCAAAATCCCAACAGTAACAACAACCAACCCGGACAAAGTTACATAATAAACATTATTCCATAAACCAGGTTAAATCATTTTCATCAATTCTTTCTAAAAAAAAAAAAAAAAAATGGAAGGGCACCTGGGTGGCTCAGTTAAGTGTCCGACTCTTGGTTTTTGCTTAGGTCATGATCTCAAGGTCACAAGATCGAGCCCTGCATCAGGCTCCACGCTGGGTGTGGAGACTGCTTAAGATTCTGTCTCCCTCTCCCTCTGCCCCTCTCCTCCACTCACATGCAAGCAAAAGCTCGCTCTCGCTCTCTCCCTCAAATAAAATCTTTGAAAAATTGAAAATTAAAAATAAAAAATGGATTACTGAAATCTACTCCAGGCTCAGACCTTACAATTACAAAGGAAAACTTTGGAACAATATTGTTGATCATGGTATGACTTTTGTAGATTAAATCATGGAGGCATAAACTGCCATTGATGACAAGTCAATCACCAAATGGTGACCAAGCAGCCAGGAGTATTTTTAGCTGTAAGAAAAATTTGTCCTGCTACAGGTTCTAACATTTTCATTCACTCTACCTGAAAACCGTTCTATCACAACATATCTGTAACTAAAAAAATGGAATTTTTGCTTCCCTTATTTTGTGTGTAATCAGTTATGTGTAGGAGCAAAGCACTGTAATATTCACACCAAGAGAATTTGGGACAAAGTGTCCCCACCACCCTTAGTATAAGGCAAAGCTCTGGTTTAAGGAGCTAGCACCTACTGATCCTTAAACCAGTGCAAAAGAATCACCTGGAGCTTGTTAAAACACAGAGTCCTAAGCACTATCCTCAAAGATCCTGATTAAGGAGGTCTGGGGATGCCTGGGTGGGGCTCAGCAGTTGAGCATTTGCCTTCGCTCAGGTCGTGATCCTGGAGTCCCAGGATCGAGTCCCACATTGGACTCCCCACGGAGAGCCTGCTTCTTCCTCTGCCTATGTCTCTGCCTCTCTCTCTCTCTGTCTTTCATGAACAAATAAATAATCTTTTTTGTTTAAAAAAAAAAAGGTCTGGAATGGGGCCCATGAATTTGTATTTCTAACAAGATCCTAGGGTAACAATGATGATAGTGATGATGTCACTACCTCCTACAAACCTTCTGCAGGTTTTGTTACTTTTTTGCTCTTATAGATTGCTAATGTTGCTACAGTGTTGGAGGACATCAAATTCTCAAATCAGTATATCTGAGTCAGTGGGTTCATGGAGACATAACTCTCCTGAGGTTGCAGAACTTTATCAATGACATGTTTAATGATACATTATTATACTTTATCTAAAAATCAGGAAAATAATATATAAAACTATAATGATATCCAAAATGCCAAATAAACTTCAAGTTTAAATATTTACCTTTACTAATTAATCCTTGAGTAATCAACATACTTGTTGCAGCCAAAGGCACAGCTAAAGGAGGAAAAAGAACTTGTCAGCATCAACAAAAGGAAAAAAATTTGAATTCATAAGTGTCAGTAAAATCATCTAGGCAGTATGTCACACAATTAAGATCTTTAAGAGATTTTTTTCATTTTTAAAAGCTGTATTACATACAGTCAGAAATATAAAAGAAACATTTTAAATTTAAGAAACTATTACAAATACTGAACAATGTAATTCAAGAACTATTTAGATTTGGCTTTAAAAGAGCCATTCGCTAATATCATCAATTAAGACAACATACTAAATAAGGACCAAAAGAGTAAGGAGGAATAAATTAATGAGAGGCAAAAAGTATAGAAGTATAGGCAAAAAGGTAGAGCTTTCTTTTAATTACTACCCTTCTAAAGATAAGGAAACTGGAACTTAGAGATGTTAAGTAGTTTGCCCAAGGCCATATAACTACTTCAATGGCAGTTCCAGATTCTAACAGTCTCATACCAGAGCGCAAGCTTTTAAGTTCTGTGGTACACTGTGTGAACCAAAATGCAAGAAGTACTTGTCCACAATTACACGGTGATGGGGGCAAGAATACACAAGTATATATTTTAAATACTAATGTTTTTTCTTCTAAACCAATGAATTCCTTAAAACCAGGTGAAAATATTACATAATGTAACACTGTGTGTCAACTATTCTTAATTTTAAAAAGTCTACAAAATATATACACATATTAAACCAGAGTGAAAAATTCAAAATTCTCCATCATAATCTCAAAGGAGCTCATAATTAAAAATCAGTTTTCTACACCCGTACTGTCCAACAGAATTTTCTGTGATGATGGTAGTAGTCTGTATCCATGTTTCCCAGGCTAAGGAGTGTGCAGAAGATTTAAAAATAGGAGCCCTGAGGCTGCTATCTTTAAAAAGATCCCCTTACTAGGTCTTTGACTGATGTGTGGGAACATGACTGGTAAACAGTTCCCTACAAGTGATATAAAACTTGACCTGAATGATAAGTGGCTCACTGTGCCTAAACTGCTTAAACAAATACAGCTTATCCTGAATACCTACTTTCTTTTGGAGTCTGGAATTTTGGCATTTGCTAGGCTGAGCGTATGTGACCCACCAGTCCCCAGGAAGAACCCCAGGCACTGAGTCTCTACTGAGATTCCTTGGTAGATAACACTTCACTCATGTTATCACAACTCATAGCTGGAGTTGTCCTTTTGTGTGTGACTCTACTAGCAGAGAAGTTATGGAAGCCTGTGTCTGGTCTCCTCTGGACTTTACCCCACACTCCTTCCCTTTTGCTGATTTTACTTTGTATCATTTCTGCTATGAATTATTTCAAACTGAAATAGCTACATGTGGCTGCTACACTGGACTGCACAGTTTCAGACCAGGGGTTGGGAAATGTTCTATAAAGACCCAGATGGTAAATATTTTAGATTCTGTGGACCACAGGTTTCTCTGCCTCATCTACTCAATTGCCATTTTAAAGCAAAAGCATTGAGACAATAGTAAACAAATGAACATAGACGCGTTCCAATAAAAATTTATGGATACAAAAATATAAACATGTGACTTTCACATGTAACAAAATATTATCTTTTTTATTTTTTTCAACCATCTAAAATAAAAATGTAAAAATTATTCTTAGCTCATGGCCATACAAAACAGATTTGGCCCTTAGGCTATAGTTTGCTCAATGCTGGTCCAGACTATATGAGCAATTTAAGAACTAAAATAAGTAAGACATCCAAATTATAATTAGAGATTTCATAATTAAAATCCCTAATTCTGGAGTAGGGCATTAGCTTTGCCATCAGACACAATATACAGAAACCCCGACATTTGAATCCTTGGTCTACTATTTATGAATGGATTTTACTTTTGCAAGAAAAATGCTTTCTTTAAGGTTGGTTGGTTAAAATATCTTTACATATTACCACTTAAAGTTTTTGAAGGACAAGTCCCTTTTCATTATAGCATCATCAATATAATTTATCATTTTTTCCCCTTCCGTTTAATTTGAAGATTGCAACATGAAGCACTGAAGAATCATGCAAGGATAAAAGGTGTCGAGAGTGAGTTGGCCATCTCCACAATGGACAATGCTGTTCCCATTTCACTTCGTCCTTAGGCCAAGATGGTATAATGCAGAGAGTAACAGTTTGGTCAAGAAAATTCTAGTACTAGTTCTATCATTCACTACTTATCTTCGCATAAATCTCAACTTATTTTCATGCTATAAAGGATAATGGATTAGAACTAAAGTCTAACTCATGTCACAGTAAAAGAAAATGCTAAAACTGAACTAAAATTCAGAGATTATCAAGTCTTTATTCTAACCAGAGTAAACAGATATTCAGAAAGAACAAGTCATGTGCTTAAAAGCAACATAGATAGTTTGTGGTAGAGCTGGAACTAAAACCCAAGTCTCCTGGGCACCTGGGTGGCTCAGTGGTTGAACCCCTGCCTTGGGCTCAGGGAGTGATCCCGGGGTCCCAGGATCAAGTGCCATATGGGGCTCTCCACAGGGAGCCTGCTTCTCCCTCTGCCTCTGTCTCTGCCTATGTTTCTCAGGAATAAATAAAATCTTAAAAACAAAACAAAAAACCCCAAGTCTCCTGACCCCCAGCCAGATCCATGGCATTTTCCACTGCAGTATGTGACTCCTATCTGAGTCTAAATAATGTTACTTTAGGCAAACCAATAATACTGTTAACCAAAAGCTATTTTGCATCATGACCCTGGTCTGAACCATATCCAATACAAGGACTCCTACAATTCCTTAAACTCCTTAAAATTCCTTCTACTCTTACAACAACAAAATGCTATTTTATTTTTTTTTCAAAATGCTATTTTAAATTCATAACTGTGTTCAACTGGAATTTGTATTTTGTCCACCACAGTAGCACTAATACCCATTTAATATAGAAAGCTTAAACTTAAAAAATAAATTGAATTAAAAAAATAAATAAATTGAATTAATCCCCATAATAATCCCATGAAATGTTATCCCCATTATATAGATAAGGAAACTGAGGCATAGACAGTAGGTGCTTGCCCAAAATCTTAAAGCTAAGTGATGGGGCTGGGATTTGGATCCAGATAGGCACCAAAGTCTATACTCATCATTCATTATACTGTCTCATTAAAAACAACTAGTACAGAGGCACTGGCTGGCTCAGTGGAGCTTGCAACTCTTGATTTTCAGGTTGTGGGTTCAAGCCCCATGATGGGTGGAGATTACTTAAAAATAAAATCTTTAGGGCAGCCCGGGTGATTCAGCAGTTTAGCACCACCTTCAGCCCAGGGCCTGATCCTGGAGACCCGAGATTGAGTCCCACGTCAGGCACCCTGTGTGGAGCCTGCTTCTCCCTCTGCCTGTGTCTCTGCCTCTCCCCCCCCCCCCCCGTGTCTCTCATGAATAAATAAAAATAAAATCTTAAAAAAAAAAAAAGTCTTTAGGGACGCCTGGGTGGCTCAGAGGTTGAGCGCCTGCCTCTGGCCCAGGGCTTGATCCTGGAAGTCCCACACTGAGCTCCCTGCATGGAGCCTGCTTCTCTCTCTGCTTGTGTCTCTGCCTTCTCTCTCTCGGTCTCTCGTGAATAAGTAAATAAAATCTTAAAAAAAAAAAAAAAAGGAAAAAAAATTAAAAGGAACACGAAAACCAGCTAGTACACATGTATATTATTCACAAAATCTATAAATGATGCATAAAACCAATCAATATGAATTCGTGTACCTTTTTAGTAATTCCAGAGATTGAGAACTACTGTAACATTAATACATATTAAGCTAACCCCAACCCTTTTATGTAGATTCCTTCATTACCTGTATGTTTGGGCAAAGATAGAACCGGTTTGTGGTTAGTATATAGGACCACAATTTCAAGCAACTGAAAATAAGATCCCTTCACAATTACATTTTAAAATTAAAAGTAGTTAAAGTAGAAATAAACAAGTTACCTTAAATAAACTCTAGATCAAATGTGATTTTAAACCAAGATGAATATATTTAATAGATCTAAAAAATGTGTAAAAATTACCTTCGTAAGTACTTTTTCTACTCATTCCTACTTTCATCACACCTTTTTAAAAATCAATGGACATGGGACGCCTGGATGGCTCAGCGGTTGAGTGCCTGCCTCTGGCCCAGGGCGTGATCCTGGAGTCCTGGGATGGAGTTTTGCATCGGGCTCCCCGCGAGGGGCCTGCCTCTCTCTATGCCTCTCCCTCTGCCTCTCATGTATAAATAAATAAATAAAATCTTTAAAAAAAACACAATGGATGTAAGATGATACTCTCCAAACACGGATTCCATGAACTCATTTATATAAATGTTAACATCACATACTGCACATTTGAAATATGTAAGCATGCACATCCTTATAGGAAGATATAAATGTTAATGTACAAAATTTCCTAATGCAGGACTATTAGTTCTCCTGATAACTGTATGCTAAAATGCCTGTTCTCTGCGGTTATAGCCAAGATTCTCTGTTTTCCATGTTTGATGTTGCTGCAATAGGCAACACCTAGCCTATGTGTTTTAAAAGTAATCATTAGGGGATCCCTGGGTGGCGCAGCGGTTTGGCGCCTGCCTTTGGCCCAGGGCACGATCCTGGAGACCCAGGATCGAGTCCCACATCGGGCTCCCGGTGCATGGAGCCTGCTTCTCCCTCTGCCTATGTCTCTGTGCCTCTCTCTCTCTCTCTCTCTCTCTCTCTGTGACTTTCATAAATAAATAAAAATTTAAAAAAAAAAATTTAAAAAAAAAATAAAATAAAAGTAATCATTACTTATTAATGTAGTAATATCTAAGTTATTCAGTAATTTTCCAGTAATCCAGACATGGTATACAGCTAATAAGCTGGGTTTTAACCTCTCTTTATTGTGTGCTTTCAAACTTGTAATTAATCTGGAGTTTTTAAAAACATTTTATTTTTAAGTAATCTCTACATCCAACGTGTGGCTCAAACTTACATCCCCAAGATCAAGAGTCGCAGGCTCTACGGGATGAACCAGCTAGGCTCCCCATATTTAATCTGTTTGAATACACAGAATTACTAAGGCTTCTGTTGTTCATATACTACATGTTCTACTTCTAACAGGATACACGAGTGCTCTGCCTACTGATCACCACCCTTCAATATTTCTAGCATAATGCTGTTTTAGCTATCTAGAATGTTATACTTGTACAGTAACATAAGTTTATCAGCCAGAAATTAATCTAAACACCATAGTAGCTTTGTGGCCATAAGCCCAACATTACAACGATCCCAAACCTCTCTCCACCAGACTTGTTTTTTTCTTCTGTGCCAACAATAGACTTGAAAATAGATTGTTTTATCTATCTACTCTAGGTAATCCACAAAGATCAATTATCTGTTGCCAGAGTACAACTGAGTTCCCTGAGAAATTATTCCCAAACTATGAGCCATGGACACTTTTTACAGGTCTCTGATCCATGACAACTATAGATCTAAAAGAATTATTCTCACTGCAGATGTGCACCATCATCTAATTCTTACTCAGGTTCTCTCTAGCTTGAAAGCTCTGTAAGTCTCTGAATATTTGAACGAAAGATAAAATGCCCAGGATTTTATGAAAGGTCCTATTATCTTTTTGGTCTCTGTTGATTCTTTCCCTACCTCTTGTTGCCTTACCCACGCATGCTACCCAAACCTCTGTCATGTATTCTATTCCCACATTTTAGCCACATGACAGATATTACCAGTTTTATACTTTTATTTCTGCACCCAATTCCTTGAATTCACCAACACAACTATACCTCAAACCCTAATTTCTCATACACCTTTGCTCCTCTCTAGTTGCTTACCAATCTTCTGCAATCAGATGTTACAAGAGGAAAGTGTCCAAACTAAACTTGTAACTCCTATTAATTAAACATCTTTAAATCAGTAAAGTCATCACTAGTTTCCTAAGCTACATATCTTGAAGTTAATACCCCTTATACTGTTTATTTAAAAATCCTACTATGTATCCTTTAAAAAAAATATTTCAATACCACCCATCTTCTGTTGTCCAAATGATACTTTGATTAATATCTCAATAACTGCAAGCCTGAGCTGCTGCCAAAAGTTCTTAAGACTTCAAAAAACATAACTTCTCATCCTTCTAATCCATCCTGCACACTGCTACCTAAGCTTCCTCTTAAAAATTTACAAACTGGGCACGGGGGTGGCTCAATGATTGAGCATCTGCCTTTGGCTCAGGTGGTGATCCCAGGGTCCTGGGATCGAGTCCTACATAGGGCTCCCCAGAGGGGGCCTGCTTTTCCATCTGCCTCTGTCTCTGCAGGTCTCTCATGAATAAATAAATAAAATCCTTTAAAAAAATTACAACCATTCTGGCCTTTGAACTAAAAGTATATTATGAATCAAATCTTTAACTTCTTGGTATTATGTTTATTTTGTACTTCCAACAGAAGATTCCTATTCCAATCAATTCAGCCTCAGGACTCCAGTAAAGATCAAGTTATTGTAGACTCTGCCTTTGCTCACTGTTCCTTTCATCTAAATGTTCTCTGACATTCTTCTTCATTTACCTCAAGTCCTAGCTGTAATGCTCTGCAGGGAGTCTGCTTCTGCTTTTCCCTCTCATCTGACCCTCCACCCCGCTGCTCGGGCTAGAGCTCTCTCTCTCAAAAATAAATAAAATCTTAAAAAAAAAAATTACTTTATTTGAAAGGACTGTAGTGACCACATGAAGCAACTTCAGGACTCTGTTCAAAAGTAAGATTGTTTAATGCCTTCAACATGCTCTGTATTTAAAAAAAAAAAATCTTCACGTAGAAGGTCTTAGTCACAAATCAGGAGTTAACAGTGTAACAATATTTCACAAAGATAAAATGGGAACTGACTAGGTTTTTATTTTTTAAACTAGGTTTTATCATATAATAGTCAGAAGTCTAAGAATTTAAAATCACAAGCTTCTGTCTCAGACCCAGCTTCACATCCAGACATAACAATTTACCAGCTGTATAACACTAGGTAATTCATTTAACATCTCTAAACTTCAATTTCTTCATTTGTAAAGTAAGGGTTAATAGTTATCAACCTAATTGGGTTGTTTTTATATAATCCATGTATTCTCAATAAATGTTAGCTATCACTGTTACCAACAAAATTAACTTATGGTCTTGAATGAAGTTCTAGAAATCATTACTTTATGCACAATTTGTTTCCCTTAATCAACCTCTTTTAGCAATAACCAACCACACCAAAGTGTGCCAATTTTTTCTATATGATGTCACAATAATTTCAGGTACTAAAGGTCAAATTTTGTTAATTAGAAAATTCAACTTACATCTGAACCAGAAGCTTTCGTCATTGCACTCCGCAAAGACTCTTCTTTCTTCCTCTGTTGGAATGTAATCAGCCCCTATGTCTTTTCACCAAGGAAAATTGGCAAACATTAAAATGCCCACAGAAAAGCTAAGCCTAAAAATTTAATTCAGTCTAAACATTAACAAAACACACCCAATTTTTTAAAAAAAAAATTTTAAATGTGTGAAACTGGCTCACCAATTCTTAAAACTTAAATTCAATTTAGTTAACATATAGTGTATTATTAGTTTCAAAACCAGAATTTAGGGATTTATCAGTTGCATAGAACACCCAGTGCTCATCACATCACGACCCTCCATCATGCCCATCACTCATTACCCCATCCCCCCACCCGCCTCCCCTCCAGCAGCCCTGTTTGTTCCCCATGGTTAAGAGTCTCTAAACAGTAGGCTGGTAACTTTTAAAAAGCAAACTTTGACTTCAAAGAGAAGTCAGTGCTACCATCTATTAGGACTGGCTACATAATGTAGCATCTTGGTCCAATGCAAGATGAAAATGTGGGACCAGGGCAGCCCAGGTGGCTCAGAGGTTCAGCGCTGCCTTCAGCTCAGTGAGCGACCCCCGGAGCCCTAGAATCCAGTCCTATGTCTGGCTCCCTGCAGGGAGCCTGCTTCTCCCTCTGCCTCTCTCTCCCTCTCTGTCTCTCATGAATAAATAAATACAATCTTTAAAAAAAAAAAGTGGGACCATCTGTTCAAATTATTAAGAATTTCAAGGTGGGGAGTTGGGTGGCACAGTAAGCATGTGACATGGGATTTTCTCTCCTACCCCATTCCCACAACGCTAGTTCTAAAATAAACAAATCTTAAAAAAAAATAAAATAAAAAATAAAAAAGGAATTTCAAGATGGTAACAGATCATTAAACCACGTGAGCCCCTGGGTGAAGCCAGTCCAGCTGCCATCACACAAGGCAGTGAGTTTTTCTACACTGAACATGCTTCTAATTATAAATATTTATTTGATAGTTACGGGGAATTGGTCTTGGAACTTCTGCATTCGGCTCTCGAAAATCAGCCCTCCCGTTCATCTTTCCTGCATCAAAAAAACAAAAACAAAAAAATTTATGTTAAGTATCAGGAATCATTAGATAGACCAAAATAAACTAGGACACAGTACAGTAAAATCACTCGTCAACAGGGCAGGCAAGCACGCACCAATCATTAACTAAACACTTCTTACTAAATGGGGAGGAATTGACATTAATAAAAATAGTGACCTAAATACAACAAGCAACAGACCTGTTAACTAATTTGGAACTGGTTACTCATCTTAGGTCCCTTAAGTGGAAAAGAAAATAGATCCTTTATCATTATTTATCGGCAGACTAGGTCAAATTAAGATGTAAAAAAGAGATCAAAGACATGGATTATTTCTCTTCCTAAAGCTGGATTTATTTCACGTCATCCTAGATTTTGGACCTTTCAGAAGTATGTGCGTGATAACCGTGATTTCCCAAAACGGCGGAAGAGACAGCCCCGAATTCACTACTGGGCTTCCGTTCTCAAAGCAGCAAATAATGGCCACCGGAGACACTCCGCCTTTCCCACAAAGCACTGCGCCACAGACCCTGAAGGGCAATGACGTCACATCGCTGCCCCCCGCCGCTAAAGCTGACGGCAAATCCGATGTCCTACACTTTCCCCGCTCCCTAGACACTTACGAATAGGTACGATTTAAAAGAATAATAATAAAAAAAATAAAAAGAAAAAAGAAAAAAAGGGCAGCCCCGGTGGCTCAGCGGTTTAGCGCCGCCTGCAGCCTGGGGGTGTGATCCCAGAGACCCGGGATCGAGTCCCACGTCGGGCTCCCTGCGTGGCGCCTGCTGCTCCTTCTGCCTGTGTCTCTGCCTCTCTCTGTGTCTGATAAATAAATGATATAATCTTTAAAAATAAATTTTAAAAATGCACACAATTCAAGAACATATTTTTATTATTATTTTTCTTCCCGACCCCTCGCTCGGGACTTGAGGCCAACACGTCAGAGAACCGCGTAGGTCCTGGAATGAGCGTTGGGCACCGTGCCAAGCGACGGGCACGGGCGTGGGGGAGGGGGGGCAGGAGGTCGGCCCCCCGCGGGCCACCGTAGGGCCGGCCCGCCGCCCCGCTACGACAAACAGGGTCACGTGAACTCCCGGACGGAGAGGTCGCTCGACAGGCCGCTTCCAGCCTAAAGATCGAGTAGGCAGCGTGAGCGTACCCCCACCTCAGACACCCTGCAGCAGGGCCAACGAGGGCCCTCCACACCACGCCACTCTTAACCTCTCAACGCACAGCTAAGAAAAATAAAGTCAGTAAATAAATAAATAATAAATAAAAAAAAAACCACCCTGAACCGTCGTCGGCCCACGACCGTCTCCCGCACGGCACGCCTCAATAGGCGCGTCCCCCACCTGCCACAGCGTCCCCGCCCGCGGCGGCACTCAGGCCCCGGGCGCGCCCGGCCCACCCTCTCAGGCGGGAAGATGGCGGAGGGCGCGGAGGCGGCGGCCGGGCGGGGGTGGGGGGCGGAACGGCGGCTCTCCGCGTCACCTCACCCACCTCCGGGCGACGGCGGCGAGCGACGGTGCGGCAGCCGCGGCGATCCGAGCCTGGAGGGGGACCCGACGCGGGTCAAGGAGGAAGAACAGCGCGCGGAGGCGGGCGGGCCGGCGGGCGCGCGACGCCGCAGCGGAGGTGGGGGTGGGGAGCGGAGCGCCGCTCGGCCTCCCGGAAGCCACCCAGATACAGGCTCCAGAGGACCGCGACCCGGAAGCACTGGCGGCCCGGCGGAGGAAATGACGTCAGGCCCTCCCTGCGGAATCGGGGGCCTGCGTCTGCGCCTGCGCCCGTCTGCCCCGCCCCCCTCGGCCCGTCCCTCCTCGGGGCTCGCCCGGGTCGCGGCGCTCGCGAGCTGCACTGCGGCTGCGCGCGCCCCTCTGCGGCCTGGGCCGCGCCCCGCCCCGCCCGCCGCGGGAGGCTTGGCCGCGGCCTCCGGCCTCGTCCCGTGGCCCAATGGCTGTCGGGATCGGGAGCCCCCTTCTATCCCGTTGTTCAGAGGAACCGATTTTTCTTGCATTCCTCTGGTTTGGGGCTCTACACAGTCGACTCCATTCCTTGAGCCCCGGAGGCTCTTGAGCATGCGCACTCGGGTCGGGTCTGGTGTCTGGAGCCCCGCTGCCGCCTGGGGCTAGAACCTCGGGCCCGCGCCGGCGCTCCCTGGGCGTCAGGTGTTTCTCACCTGGAAGGATGGAAACTACACCTGTTGCCTAGGGTGGTTAGGGTGAAAGCCCCACGCCTGAGCAGAGACGGCGCTCAGGGCTCCCTCTCAGTGGGAGCGCCCCTAGCCCAATGCGGGCCTCGTGACTTGGGTTCAGCAGGTGTCCGCCGCCCCGGCCTCCAGGCCTCCGTTCATCCATGCATTCAGCTTAGAAGTCGGTTTGGGGTTTAAGATTTTTATTTATTCATGAAACAGAGAGAGAGAGAGAGAGAGGCGGAGACACAAGGCAGAAGGAGAAGCAGGCTCCCCGCAGGAAGCTGGTTGGAGGTCTCCATCCTGCGACCCCGGGGTCACGACCTGATGGGAAGGCAGATGCTCAACCGCTGAGCCTCCCAGGTGTCCCCTTCTTACAGGGATCCCTCGAGGGCCTGCTGTGTAACAGACACTGAGACGTATTGGAGGGTCAACAGTGACCAATTAGCTCCGCTTGGTTGTTTTTTGTTTCATCAACCCTTAGAAACCTGTCTGGTCTCTTCCCTCTTTTGTGAGCCCCTCTGCCCCTGGCCCCATTTCACCCCTCTCGCTGCCTGTAGAGCTGCCCTATATTTATTTTCCCACAGGCATACTTAAGAGAGCCGGCCTACTGTGATCCATCTAACAGTCAAATCCAATCCTGTGGTTCCTTCCGCAGAAGGAACCTTTTGATAGCTCCCATCACGCCCGGAGTATTCAGGCCCTGCACGGCTCAGGCTCTCCTCTTGAGCTTCGCTTTCTTGTATTGTAGTGTTCGATAAGAGACACAGCTGGCGGCCCTTTGCACTCACACCCCCTGTGTGTCGGTGTTCCCTTTAGCTTAACCCTCTTCCCTGCTTGGTTCACTCTATTGGTATTTCAAAATCCTACTTTTACATCTCTCTCTTTGTGAAGCCGGCCCTGAAACACTCTGGAGAATTAATCACTCCTCTTCCTCAGCGGCTCTTTTCTTTATTTATACTTCTCATTTCAGTGTAGTGCTGCATTATAGTGTGATCTTTTTGCGCAGGTCTATCTCTGTTACAGAACTCTTTTAGGTAGAGACCTTGGCTGATAAAACTTTAAACTCCCAAGATAATCAATAATTAATATTCATTTTGTTTCCAGGACATGTGAAGCTGAGCCCGGGCCCAGGGCTTTTGCACTTGCTGTTCTTTATTCTAGAACAGTGTTCTTCCGGGGGCTCACATGCCTCCAGTCTCAGGTTGCAGCTGATGTCACCACCTCCAAGAGGCCTTCCTTGATCATCCAATTAAAATTAGAACCCCAATCACTGTCCATGTTACCATGTTTATTTTCATATCCCTTATGCTCTAAAACAATTATTTGGTTTTATTAATGCTTTTCTCTCTCCACTCACTAAAATAAAAGATCTGTGAGAGTTGGAGCCTGTCTGGCATCAAAATGATTGACATATAGTATGCAATCAATAAATATTTCTTCAGTGAATTCATCGAATACATTTTTATAAGAAAAGAAACAGGTAATTAAAAGATATACTGGGTGAGCTTTATGCTAAAGCAAAAATCTGATCTTTACTTTCTGACTAGATTGTAAGATTCCGGAATCCAATTCTATCATATTCTCTGTATTTAACTGAGCCAGGCCTAACACATGGCACATGGCATTTTGATGACTATATGTTCCACTGCCCATGTATTTCTCAGAAATCAAGTCAGTAAGTTGGATTTCTGTTGATGAAAGGGTATGGTGTTCTTTCTGTGGGAACAAATAGGATTTTAAACATTGAAAGTAAACTGTCATTTTCTGTGGTTTAGAGGTTATTGAGTCTGTTGGCAACTTAGATAATGCAACAAAGAATTCAAACATAGATTGGGTAAAATCCAAAATCTTTACTAGAAGCTGATTCTCATTTTATAGAAGCTATGGGATTTCTTAGCAAACTGAGAACTTTGGTGCTTCAATTTTCAACTGTGAGATCACCAGAGATCAATCTATTTGTATTAAATTAAATCAACTCACTTCAAACTACCTGCACTGTGGTAAGATCTAATGAAATGTCACCATAAAAAAATGTCCACTTGTTAGGCATAACTTAAAAAAGTTAATTGTGAAGGAGTTGTTTAGGGTACTCATTAATTCATTGGAATGAAACCCATGTAATAAATCCGTCCTTAATTTCAGTGTCAAGAAAAGGTTTGTCTTTTCAGCTGAACTCTTAAAACTCCTTAATCACAATTGTTATTCAGCATATTTCCATTTATGCTCCATGAGAGTAGAAATTATGTCTTGTTTGTTCACCATAGACTTTCCAGTGCTCAACACATTTATTATTCAAAATGTAATGTTACAGAAGCCAAGGGAATAGAATGTTTCAAAAAGGAAGGAATAGTCATATAAAATGCTGATAAAGACTGAACACTATCCATTAAGTGGAGCAACAAGTTATTTACAATTTTTGCAAAAGTAGGTTCATACCTAGGTAATGGCTTAGAAAAGAGTGATTGGGTGCAATATAGAAAAAAGTGTGACTGCCCTTTCCCAAAGCTTAGTCGTTCGGTGAAAGGAGGCCATGGAGTGGTAGCTAAAGAGAAAATAATGCATGGATGAAGATTAGTTTGGTTTTTGTTTTTATATTCCATAGAGACTTGAGTATAATTGTTAGAGGGGAAAAACAAGTAAAGAAAAGAGTTGAAAATACGGCAGTGAAAAGAGATCACGGGACGCCTGGGTGGCTCAGTGGTTGAGCCTCTGCCTTTGGCTCAGTTCATGACCCCGGGGTCCTGGAATTGAGTCCCGCATCAGGCTTCCTGTGGGGAACCTGTTTCTCCCTCGGCCTGTGTCTCTACTTCTCTCTCTGTGCCTCTCATGAATAAATAAATAAAATCTTGAAAAGAAAAGAGATCAATAATAGCATAAGGCAGATTTCCCAACTGGTGTTCTGTGAATATGATATAGGTAGGCCACGAGCTATTGATCCACTTAGCCTTTGGGATGAGCTATGAGCAGAGCTGAGCCATCTTCTTTAAGGTCCTCTGAGGGTAGCTAGTATGGAATAAAGTCTGATGACATCCTGTGTACTCCACAAATGATGAGAATGGTGGGCAACATTCAGCTCTTCTCCACCCTAAGTGGCAGAAAATTCAGTTGAAGGGCACACTGCTGCCACTTGTGGGCAAGGGGCCCTTGGGGCTGCCAGAGATATTTATGGTCTCAACCCCCAGGGAGCATGACAGGCATCCTAAGGTGCAGCTAGCTGGGTGGAGATCCAAAGAGACAGCGCAGGGGCTCCTGGTGG